GCCCGCGAGACAGAGTAGATCTTCTCGTTCTTGATATAGATCTGTCTCTCTCTCTCTCCAAATCTACTGCACAATAAATAAATGCACAAAACAAAGCGTTTAATATTGCAATTAACAAAATACATATTATGTTTGTCTAATTATTATAAATTAAAATTTAACTTTTAAATTCAGTCTAATAAATTTTTACATTAATTTCGAAACAAATACTGATTATATTTCTTCAATATTACTATACTATAGAATCTATAGTATAGATATATCACTAATAAAATAATACTAGAATTAAGTACAACTAAATTACTAGTTATTAATAAACAAATACAATTAAAGCGACATTTAGTGCAATTCTAATAATCTCGTCCATAGATCCAGGCATTAGTTTTACGGATTATATTGTGGGTCTTCTTATAATTGCAAACACTCTTCACATCATTCACTAGTTTACCACTCATTGACGAGTTTATGCCATTCATCGTCAATACATTGACTCAAATATTACATATTTAAGTAATATTTAATACTCTTCTTAACCAACTCTTAATTCCTGTATTACACACACAATAGTAATACAATTGTTGGACAATCAGTCCATTTGGTCCGACAGTTCTGCGTCTTTGAAAAACTCTTGTCAACTGATTCCACAGTTAGGAAGCGCGTGTCGTTTGACCACCAGTTTTGGTCAATCACTGGCCATCGATGTCCCGGACATCGAAAATATCAGTTGGTTTGACATTCTTTCAGTTAACAGACAACACATCTCAAGACCACTGCAACAGATATATTGCAAATTATAAATAGTACTCAACTATACTTTGTATTACGTTAAATAAAAATATAATTATATTACGGTACTAATAATTACCAATATAATCCGGGGTCAGACTCGAGGCGTATAAGTATAAGACATGGTTTGGCTCTCGTCGTAATAGGACTCAGTCTTGAGGGCATCCATCAGTTGTTCAATGAGTTTGCGATCATTGCCCACACGTTTACGCCAATCAAACCGAACGATTTGATTCCAATACCTATTAATATATCCAATACTTTTCGCAATCAATTCTTGAATCCCGTATTTGTCCATCACTTCCCACACTTCCAACGCATTCTTCGGGTTTATTCGGAGATAATATAAATTCTCGCAAATAGTCTTTAGATCCCAAACCATATACTTCTCGGACACGTATAGCAATTGTTCGGCCATTGAATACAATTGATCGGAATCTCCGAAATGCAAGTAATGGAGAAACTGTTGAAACACGTGGGGATCGATGTCTTTAATAATGACAAAATCGTTCTGACTTTCCCACATATTTGTGTCAAACATTTTTTGAAACACTTCCGACCGATCAATGAGTACAGCCTTGGATGCCATCAAAATCTGACGCTTCCCCTCAGAGCCGACACATAGACGACAATCGTAGACCAGATTGTGTGCCAAACGGTTCTCAATGCGATTCACACCGACGCCAACGTCAGTCCTCTTATAGACAGCGATATCGACCGCAACGGTGACTGAGCTGTTAGTGAGATATCTCTTGTCCCGATCAATAAGTCGTCTTCCGTGCGGAACAAATGCTTTCCAGCGGTAAATCTGTGTCACTTCGAAGCGCTGTCGGCCGCGGATCTCGTCGACAACCGGTTCGTCGCCGAACGGCTGGCCGTTGCGGTCCATAACGCGTACCCGACGCTCGGCGTCTATCCATTGCCGGACATCGCCCGCCCGCCTCACGAACACACCGACCTTTAATGGCCACACCGGCTGATCCCGTCTGCCATCCCATCCAATGCTCTCCACTTTGACCACAACTCCCCACACATCGGATCCAATGATAATGTCATCGCTGTATATCATTCGGTCGGTGTTATCTGTAAAGTGGTTCACTCGGAACACCACTTTTGTCTTGTGAATCACTTCATTTGATCCCAATGTTGACAAAGACATACCTTTGTCTGTTGTGAATGTGTTGTTAGAACTGACACAACAGTAATTATTATTCACCACTAAAGAGATGGCTGTGTATGCATTGTGTCATACATTTACGTAATACATCCCAACCCATCACTACCTGTACTTCTCATAGAACATAGAAAGCATAGCATCGATCCCACTGTATATTTATAATATGCTCAAGCACTAGGGAAAGTACAGTAACCTGTACATTATACCATTCTATTTAATTTAATAATTTATATTATCAAGTATTGCTGGAATTGTATTTTGCAACCATTTATTCTCATAGTATTATTAAATAAAAATCATTTTGAATATTATTTTATTTTTGGTTATAAAATACTGATTACAAACTTACATAATGTGAGAGACATTTACAATTGTAATTCACACAATTTTTTGTTAACAAATATACAAATCAAATCAAACGAATTCAATTTAAAAAACAAATTTAAATTATATATAAATAAACTGAATTACAAAATAAAACTAAAATTATTTTTTATATAGAAGTCTGTAATTGTGTTGCCTTTCATTAAATTACTGAATTAATGACCGCTTTCTGCCCGCACTCTCACTCGTCAGAACTGTTGCAATCATTGGACACATCGTCTACTTTTTGTGGCGATTGTTTCGGTTTGCGTCCCCTCTTTGTCGGCGAACTCATAGATTTGTGATAACTCTTGCGGTGAATGAAGAGTCCGGAAGCCGATGAAAACCGTTTACCACAACCTATGGCCACGAAAGTAAACAAATCAAACGATTAACGCATAAAAATTAACAAAAACTTTTCACGAGACAATCGCATACCTATTTCGGTGCAAACGTATGGCTTTTCGCCGGTGTGTCGGCGCTTATGAGTGGTTAGAATGCAGTTCTGAGACGTGCGGAAACCGCACTCCGGGAACGGACACTCATAAGGCTTTTCACCGGTATGTTTGCGCATATGTGCGGTCATTCCCCATTGGCTATTGGCTCTGTACTCACAGCCGGGCCACGTGCACGCCCGGGGCTTCTCCTTGGTGTGAGTGCGCCTGTGCTCTCTGACGTGATGGCCAGAGTTGCTGCGATAGTCACATCCGGGCCAACCGCACTCCAAGCGTTTGATATTCATGTGCCGGTCCTTATGGGCCGAGAGGTGATTGACCCGTTTGAAGGCAAACCCGCATTCGGGCCAATCGCAGATAAACGGTCGCTCCAGCGAGAGGTCAAACTGTTCGGCCAACGGTTTACGCGCCCGATATGACGGGTTGTGTTGCAACCAATGGCTGTAAAACTTCTTCTTATTGGCCGCCTTAAAGTCGCAGTCATTCTGATCGCACACATACTCGTTGTCCACTAAGTATTTGCCAATTCGTTCGTTAATCAGCTCCAGATAGCGCTTCTGTTTGTCAATCAAATTCGCGGATTCGCGCGGCTTCGGGCCGGGTTTGGATTCGGCTGTATAGTTAGGGTCCGAGTGTTTGGTCACGTGTTTGTAAAACTCGGACTTGAATGTCGACCGATAGCCACAGTCCTGACGATTGCATACATAGATGTTGGCCGTCGAGTCCCAGAGCGGAAGTGTCAAGTCGTCCATTCGCTCCAATTGGCGAAATGCCTTCTTCGACAGACCCGGCGTTTCGTGTCGTTTCATATGACTATAGAAGCGCTCTCTGTTTGGTGTCTTGAATGCGCACAATATATAGTCGCAAACGTATGTCTGTCCGTCCACTAAGTGTTCGGGTTTTATCAAATCAGGCATCGTTTCGGCCACTATTTGGTCGAGTCGGGCGCGTTTGCGGTTCCGATACGCCCTCGAGTGCGCCCGTTTGCGCTCCCGATGACGCTCTTTGGCCTCTTCGGGGTCGAGCGGATCGATGTGACTGAGAACGTGCTTAAAGAAGTTGGGTTTACTCTTAGACGTGTGGCCACAATCGGGTCGATCGCATGTATAGGTTCTGGTTTTGCGATCCAACAAATGCATAGTCGCGTCGTCTCTACGCTCTAAACGTCGAAAGTAGTCGCGAGTCATTCCCGGCGTCTGATGTCTTCGCAGATGGTTATAGAATCTCTCCTTATCTTCGGTACTAAAGCCACACATTATCTCATTGCAAAAGTAATTGTCGCCCCGTATGTGCTCCGGGAGTATCAATGCGTCCATCTGTGAGTCGTCGGCCACCACTCGGCTTTCAAAGTCTTTGTCCATTTGATCGGAAACCACTTCCCGAGCCCTATAAAGTGTAGATCGGCCCCCGTTTTGGTGTCGATAGTAGTGCTGGTGAAACAACTTCTTGTTCTGCGACCGATACTTACACTTCGGCCAATTGCACACAAATGCCTTCAGTTTGTGATCAGTCATCGAGAGTAACGCGTCGTCCATACGCTCTAATCGTTGCATCCCTTCGGGAGTCAAGGCATGAGTTGCGTGTCTTTTGAGGTGATTATAAAACCTAAACCTATCGGCTGTAGTGAATAAACAGCCGCTTTCAGCGCACAGATAATAGTCGGTCCTCTTATGTTCCGGACGTATCAATTGATCCATTTCTTCGTCGGTAACGTCGAAGAACTTGGATCTCCTCTTAATGGGAGATGTCTTAGACTTTCGCTTTGGTTTCGCTTCATAATCACTATCGCTGTCTTCATTCTTAACGCTAACCTCTTCTGAATATTCACTTCCACTATCACTCACGGCATCACTTCTGGCATCCATTGTCTCCATGTCTTCGTCCACTGGTTGATAGTCATCGCCAGAGACGACATCATTTGAATTGTCGTTATTGTCGTGTTGTTCACCGATTGTCTCTTCAATTGGTTCACGTTTTGGGATCACTTCAAATACATTGTTAACAGTTTGAATACATTCCTCCCGTGTTTCGACGACTCGTCTCCAACTGTGGATCAAATCCATAACATTGTGTCCATTGTTTGCATTCAAACACATCTTAAGAGCGCGTAAATCGTCTTTTTGTCGATCAACTGATTCCTCCAGACCTGTGAACTCTGCGTATAGTTTATGAAGGTTTGGACTCTTGGATCCGTTGCGACGATTTTCTTCGAGTATATTCACAAGAGTTTCGTTCATTTTTGTCATTTCATCGATAATTAGATCAGATTTCTGAAGACAATCAAACATTTGTGTCATTTTGTCTTTCATTTCTAACATCTCTTTCTGACAACTGATCCAAATGTCAGTCAATCGGACCTCAAGTGTATTGAGTCTATGTCTTGAGGCCATTGTGTTAGCCATGGATTGTCTAATGAGTGGATGTCTTCAGCGCTGATTGTCTTTCAAACAGATCTTAAGCCATGAAATGGCATCAAATTTGTTGTAAACAATAGTCACGTGTCTTTGATGTAAACGTCATTTTTGAGCGCAAACTTTGAAATCATTCATAAATTGTCACAAATTTTTATAATTTTATTTACAATTAAGGCTTAAATACTTCAGTTTCTATACAATTTCGTTAACAAATATAGAAAACAAATCAAAAGTTTAAAATTATAAACTAATTAAAATATAATACAGTTTACAAGTATTAGAAATACATATAAAACAAAAAAGTAAAATAATTGACAAAAAAATGTAATAAATAACTGTTTAATTGTTTAAAATGTCGGTCATTCGGCCGCCATTAACTCAATGGCCAACATTGACCACTTATTGTTGCGGTTGTGGCCACTGTTTCTGTTTGCGTCCCCTCTTCGCCGTCGAAGGGATAGAGTTGTGAGCACTTTTGCGGTGACTGAATAGTCCGGCCGCCGCTGAGAACCGTTTGTCGCAACCTTTGGTGCAATAAACAAAAAATTGCAAACAATTAACACAATAACGGTTTATATATTTAATAATGAATCGCATACCTATTTCGGTGCAAACAAACGGCTTTTCGCCGGTGTGTCGGCGCTTATGAGTGGTCAGCGCACAGGACTGTGAGGAGCGGAAACCGCATTCGGGAAACGGGCACTCATATGGCTTTTCACCGGTATGTTTACGCATATGGGAGTTCATACCGGGATTACTATTGCACGTGTACTCACACCCGGGCCACGAGTACTGTCGGGGCTTTTCCTTGGTATGAGTGCGTCGGTGGACTCGCATATAAGTGTTTGAGTTGCACCTGTAGTCACATCCGGGCCAACCGCACGCAAAATTAGTGATACCCAAGTGTTTGCGGCGATGGAGTCGCAAATATTTCCTAACTTTATACGCAACGCCACACTCCGGCCAATCGCACACAAACGGTCGCTCCAGCGAGAGGTCAAACAGTGCGGACACCGGCACCACCGGTGGGTTGTGTTTAAGCCAATGGCTGTGAAACACAAGTTTGCTGACAGACATAAAGTCGCAGCCGATCTCATGGCACACGTACTGACCATCCGTTAAACATTTGCCGATCCGTTCGTCCATAATCTGCAATTTGCGGCTCTTATGGGCCGCTTCGACATCGACTTCGTCTTTGAGGTTAGGGTTGGAATGTTTGACTAAATGCTTGTAAAAGTTATACTTCGATTCCGACCGAAACGCACAGTCCGGCCGATGACAGACATATCGGCCGACCGTCGCGTCCCAGTGAGGAAGTGTCAAGTCGTCCGTTCGCTCCAATCGGCGAAACTTCTCCCTCGATATGCCCGGCGTTTGGTGTCTTTGCAGGTGATTAGAGAACCGCTGCCTATCGGGTGTCCGGAAAGTACAGTTAGACTCATCGCAGGCGTACTGATCGTCCACTCTATGCTCGGGTCGTATCAAATCTAGTTCTTCGCTGACAACAGGTTCGGTGTTTTTGTGACCGTTTAGATGTCTATAAAAATCCTTTTTACTTCTGCACTTATAGTGACAGTCGGACGCATTGCACGTAAATATTCTGGTCTTGCGGTCCAACAATGGCATAACCGCGTCATCTCTTCTCTCCAGTTGGCGAAAGTTCTTGGGATTCGTTCTCAGGGTTGGATGTCTTTGCAAATGATTATAGAATCTCTCCTTATCTTCGGTACTAAAGCCACACATGATATCATTGCACACGTATTGGTCGCCCACTCTGTGCTCCGGGAGTATTAAACTATCCATTTTTGAGTCATCCGCTATCACCTGACATTCAGACTCATTGTCCAATTGGTCTGCCGTTAGAATAGACTTTAAGGTCACGTCTTTGTGTCGGCAGTAGTGTTGATAGAAAACCCTTTTGTTTGCTGAGCTGTACTGACAGTCGGGCCAATTGCACACATAGGCCTTCAGTTTGAGATCAGTCATCGGGAGTAACACGTCGTCCATACGCTCTAATCGTCGCATCCCTTCGGAAGTTAGTGCCGAAGTTGAGTGTCTTTTGAGGTGATTATAAAACCTAAACCTATCGGCAGTACTGAATATACACCCGCTTTCATCGCACAGATAATAGTCATTCTTCTTGTGTTGCGGACGTATTAATTGATCCATTTGTTCATCGGTTACGTCGAAGAACTTGGATGTGCTCTGAATTTGAAATGTCTTACATTTCTTAAACTTCTTCGGAGATTTACGCTTAGGTTTCACTTCATAATCACTATCGCTGTCATCATTCTTGATGTGAACCCCTTCTGTATATTCACTTCCACTATCACTCACGGCATCACTTCTGGCGTCCATTGTCTCCATGTCTTCGTCCACCGGTTGATAGTCATCGTCAGAGAGGTTGATGTCTATGACATTGTCGTCCAATTTAACAGCAATTATGTCACTAATTGTCTCATTAATTAATAAACTCTTTAATACGCTTTCACTGCTATTGTTTACCAAATCATTAGTTTGAATGAATTGTTGCCGCGTTTCTGCGACTGCACTCATATTGTTTACAATCACATCATGTGTTTGAATGAATTGATCCCGCGTTTCGGTCACTCGTCTCCAACTGTGGATCAAATCCATAACATTGTGTCCATTGTTTGCATTCAAACATATCTTAAGAGCGCGTAAATTGTCTTTTTGTCGGTCAACCGATTCCTCGAGTCCTGAAAATTCTGTATAAAGTTTATGAAGTTCTGAACTCTTGGATCCGTTGTTACGATTCTCTTCAATGATATTCACAAGAGTTTCGTTCATTTTTGACATCTCTTCGATCATTAGATCCGATGTCTTCACATAATCACTCAATTTCTTGATTTTGTCTCTCATTTCTATCATCTCTTTCTGACAACTGATCCAAATGTCATTCAATCGGACCTCAAGTCTGTTGAGTGTATGTCTTGAGGCCATTGTGTTAGCCATGGATTGTCTGATGAGTGGATGTCTTCAGCACTGATTGTCTTTCAAACAGATCTTAAGCCGAGAAATGGCATCAAATGTGTTGTCAACAAATGTCACGTGTTTTTGACGTAAACATCATTTTTAAGCGCAAACTTTGAAATCATTCATAAATTGTCATAAATTTTTGTAATTTTATTTACAATTAAGACTTAAATACTTCTTCAGTTTGTTTACAATTTCGTTAACAAATATAGAAAATAAATCAAAAGTTTAAAATTATAAACGAATTAAACTATTAATACAATACAATATACAGTTTATTCTAAAATGTAGATAAATAAAACTTTAAATTATTTACAAAAAATGTAGTGAATAACTGTTATTGTCTATAATGTCTGCAATTGTGTTGTCAGTAACTATTGATTCCCTTTCCGTCCCCTCTTCGCCGTTGAAGGTATAGATTTGTGATAACTCTTGCGATGAATGTATAGTCCGGCCGCCGCTGAGAACCGTTTATCACAATCTATAGTCGCAAAACAA